GCGGTCACGAGTGTTGCCAGCGCGAACTGCCCGACTTCATCAGCATAGAAAAATATCCAGTACTGCTCTCCGAGTCTTACCAGACCTTAAAACTCTTGTCTCTCACGTAAGTTTCCTATTTACAAACAAAATATCGTGTTTGCGAATCCAGTTTATACTTGAAGGCAAAACTCAAGAATGGCTGTGAAGAAATAGCAGGATGGGTACTTGTGTGCAACATGCGAAGAGTTCGTCTGCAGATTTTGGGCTTCTATCCCTGCTTTCTCAGAGTGTGTGTGAAAGTTATTGTTGCCCAGCACCGCTAGTGCTAAGTGCTCACAATTCTGCATGAATAATAGGCTTCTTCCTGGTACACGATACGTAGGCTGGTAATGTTTGACTGGAAGGGAAAACGATGCAAGGATTTTTCATTGTCGGCTATGAAAATACATCATTTATTTTCGTACAAGCAGGTGATGTCAACCGAGTGATCATCATCTATAAATACGGGAAGGGTTACGAGGAAATTGTCATATTCGAAATGTCGTTGACCCTCGCATTCCTGGCTTGCATCACAGCGAATGTCGCAGCTGAAGCTGAGTTGTCTCATTTCCTATTACTCATCTCTGGCGATCCTCTTGAACTAATCTGGTTTGATTTGAGCTCTATAGCTTTGAGCCATAAAAATTACTTGTCTTAGACGCGATTTGGTCTGCTTAAATACAAAAGATTCCACTTTACACTGTTCCACCAGTGTATATACTGCCGCAGTGTACATACTTGCAAAAGGGATATGAAAATCACTGTGCCCATATTCTTCAACCTTTGCAGATAGTGGTTTGTTGTCAGTCATGGAAGCTGGTCAGACCAATGAAACAGTTTTGGTTTGCCAGATCCAAGCTGCCTGGATTACTGAAAACATTCATTAAAATAAAATAAAAGTACCATATATACAGATGCAATAGCATTAAGTGGCAATTAAGTGTCGCCTATTCTAAGAGCTTGACAAGAATTGAATGTGACCCGAAGAACATATTTCACAGAGGTAGCGTGATCTAATATATTGTTGAAACCAAACTGCAAAGAACTTCCCTCGTTGCTGACTAATTCTCCGATAAATTACGGATTGCGCTTCAGTGTATATTCAAGACAGGACTAGAGGATGAAATTTTTGACATCGATTCTTTTTTCAGTTGACTCATTCATTCGGCTCATAGCTGGAATTGTGGTGGAATGCGATGGTATAATAGAGCTGGCAGTGTAGGATGTAGAAGCCAGAACTTTCATCTCACTGAACGACAATAGTGAGGGTGAACCCACTCGAGAGTTTTCGAGTCGAGAGTTGAGGTCTTGAATTTAGTTGGCTTTGGCACGTATCGACCTAGAGTCATCCTGCGAAGCCTTACAATCCTATTTCCTTCCCAGTGGAATACGGATGGGAGACAATGAAAGCTCTGCAAA